TGATGGATAGATGCACTTTTATGATGGACAGAATCAGATGCACTTTTATGATGGATAGATGCACTTTTATGATGGATAGATGCACTTTTATGATGGACAGATGCACTTTTATGATGGATAGATGCACTTTTATGATGGACAGATGCACTTTTATGATGGAAAGATGCACTTTTATGATGGATAGATGCACTTTTATGATGGACAGAATCAGATGCACTTTTATGATGGATAGATGCACTTTTATGATGGACAGATGCACTTTTATGATGGACAAATGCACTTTTATGATGGACAGATGCACTTTTATGATGGAAAGATGCACTTTTATGATGGATAGATGCACTTTTATGATGGATAGATGCACTTTTATGATGGATAGATGCACTTTTATGATGGATAGATGCACTTTTATGATGGACAGATGCACTTTTATCATGGATAGATGCACTTTTATGATGGAAAGATGCACTTTTATGATGGATAGATGCACTTTTATGATGGATAGATGCACTTTTATGATGGACAGATGCACTTTTATGATGGATAGATGCACTTTTATGATAGATAGATGCACTTTTATCATGGATAGATGCACTTTTATGATGGAAGATGCACTTTTATGATGGATAGATGCACTTTTATCATGGATAGATGCACTTTTATGATGGATAGATGCACTTTTATGATGGATAGATGCACTTTTATGATGGATAGATGCACTTTTAAGTTGGATAGATGCACTTTTATGATGGATAGATGCACTTTTTTGAGCTTCAAACTGTTGGTGGTAATCCACTGCCATTATAAAGCTTGGAAGCGTCAGGGTGTTTATTAATATAACTCTGATTGTATTCGTCTGAAAGAAGAAAGTCATATACACCTAGGATGGCTTGAGCAGGGTGAATAAATAATGGGCTAATTTTAATTTTTAAGTGAACTACTCCTTTAATGAGCTTTCATCTGTGATCTATGACGAGGTCACTATCATTACTCAGTCATTAATGTTTCATCCGCTGCCCTGATCAAAAGTGATTCAGAGTTCATGAATCAGCTCATGTGGTGTTCGAACCTTCAACCTTTCAGTAATCAGCTCAGACATGAAGACATTTAACTTCCACATACAGTGGGGAATCATGTGGGCGGGTCTTGGTTTGTTTATTGTGATTTGATTGACTAGTGCATGCGGGTGACACATGTTAGGCTGGTATTTTTTTGTTTAAAGGGATAGTTCATCCAAAAAATGAAAATTAGCCCATGATTTACTCACCCTGAAGCCATCCTAGGTGTACATGACTTTCTTCTTTCAGACGAATACAATCTGAGTTATATTAAAAAATGTCCTGGCTCTTCCAAGCTTTATAATGGCAGTGAATTGCCGTTTGTCTTTTGAAGTCCATCAAAGCGCATCTATTCATGATTAAAGTCTTCAACACTTCTCCGGGCGTTAATAAAGGCCTTCTGAAGTGATGCAAGTCGACTTACGCCAAAAGAGTAACACTTGAACTTGACACACAACGTAATGACGAACGCGGTTGCCCAGCCCTGTGTGTTTGAACCGTGAGAGGCGTCAATAGCCGTCATTACGTTGTGCGTCAGCGTAAGTCGACTTGCGTACGGCTGTCTGCTGGAAGAGAGTTATTTTAGTCGATAAAGTTTTATATATGAATATTTTTCTTACACGAACGCATGGCTTCACTTCAGAAGACCTTTATTAACCCCCCGGTGACATGTGGAGCACTTTAATCATGAATAGATGCACTTTTATGGACTTCCAAAGACAGGCACCAATTCACTGCCATTATAAAGCTTGGAAAGTCATTTTTCAATATAACTCAGATTGTATTCGTCTGAAAGAAGAAAGTCATATACACCTAGCATGACTTCAGCGTGCGTAAATCATGGGCTAATTTTCATTTTTGGGTGAACTATCCCTTTAAGTCAAGCAACTCTATTACTGTTATTCCTTCTGATTCAGTGATTTGAACAAGTTTAATAAATATTTAATGTCCCAAAATACTTTTTTTGAGATGTGAACAGTCTGTGAACCGATAATAGACAATACGTCATTCGTTATCATCAACAAAAACAATTATTGTTCCCTCCTGGCAAACAGAAAAGTAGTTTCCTCTTGTTCCAGCATTGTGAATGATACATTCGCATTTAAAATACTTGTGTTTAATAATAAATAAAAAATTGCTTCTGTAGAGCTGCTGAACATTTTACATATATATATATATATATATATATTTATATACTCATACGCGCACACACACACACAAACACACATACTGTATATATATATATATATTTATATACTCATACGCGCACACACACACACAAACACACATACTGTATATATATATATATATATATATATATATATATAATTTTCAGCTGTGCAGCAACTCTACAGAAGCAATATTGATTATTCAGCTCAATTCAGTTCAATGTCGATTCAGTTCAATAAGTTTCGATGTTGCAAAGTTAATTCATTTTGAAGCAAACTCAATTCAACTGTAAAGCAGGTCTACAGAATATAAAAATATAAAGTATTTAATTCTCTGCTGCTTTTTGACATGCAAGCTTAGTAGTAATTTTTCACCCTCATTAGGTTGTATTAAATATAGTGGGCATGATATTGTCCACTAGCACTAGCGAGGGCCCTAGAGGTGTGTGTGTTCGAGCGATCTGACCTGTTTCTGCTGCTGCTTTTATCTGGACTCGTGAAGCTCATATACAGCAGAATAAAGCAGAACCAGATGCCCGTTAGACCCGCATCAGCATCTGGATCCGGTGTATCGCGCCCAAACTTTAATGAATCACGACGCTATACGCATAAAAGTGTCCTGCGTTATTATGAGGTATCGTAAGACATGCTTTCATCCGTCCTTAGAAGTTAAAGTGGGTCTGAACTGGAAACAGGAGTCGAGCTGCGCTTCTGTCGGCTGGTTAGTGCTGGGTGAACTGGTGACCTTGGGGAGCATTACAGAAAGATCCTAACTTTAGAGTCCTGATCTGGTTTAGTAAGATCCTCCTAACTTTAGAGTCCTGTCTGATCTGGTTTAGTAAGATCCTCCTAACTTTAAAGTTAGGAGGATCTTACTAAACCAGATCAGACTCTAAAGTTCGGATCTTACTAAAACAGATCAGACAGGACTCTAAAGTTCAGATCTTACTAAACCAGATCAGACAGGACTCTAGAGTCCTGTCTGATCTGTTTTAGTAAGATCCGAACTTTAGAGTCTGATCTGGTTTAGTAAGATCCGAACTTTAGAGTCTGATCTGGTTTAGTAAGATCTGAACTTTAGAGTCTGATCTGGTTTAGTAAGATCCTCCTAACTTTAGAGTCCTGTCTGATCTGGTTTAGTAAGATCCTCCTAACCTTAGAGTCCTGTCTGATCTGGTTTAGTAAGATCCTCCTAACCTTAGAGTCCTGTCTGATCTGGTTTAGTAAGATCCAAACTTTAGAGTCCTGTCTGATCTGGTTTAGTAAGATCCTCCTAACCTTAGAGTCCTGTCTGATCTGGTTTAGTAAGATCCTCCTAACCTTAGAGTCCTGTCTGATCTGGTTTAGTAAGATCCTCCTAACCTTAGAGTCCTGTCTGATCTGGTTTAGTAAGATCCTCCTAACCTTAGAGTCCTGTCTGATCTGGTTTAGTAAGATCCTCCTAACCTTAGAGTCCTGTCTGATCTGGTTTAGCAACCATGGCAATTTCATTTAGGACCTCATTTAGGACAAAAGCTATAGACCTTATGTGCCAGAGACACAAGCGCGCAGCCATCTTACAAACAGGGTTCCCACGGGTCCTTGAAGTTTGTGAATCTGAAAAAAACAAACAAATGAAGGCCCTGGAAAGTTTTTGAAAATAAACACACAGGTCCTTGAGAGTGCTTGACTTTATTTTGTGCTCTAAGTTTTCTGGAAAAAAAATCCATATTATTCGCTTTGCTCCGCTAATGTGTTATTCCGCCAACACTTGTGGCCTATGCGCACTAGCTTGCTTGATTTACATCAGTTTCGCGCATTTACGCGTTACGTTGAGTGTTTCCCGTACTTTGTGTTGTACGTTGGGTGACATTCACGCGCGCACCAAACTACTACGATGGAACCTCAACATTTGTTGTTCGACACAATAAGTGTGTTCCCACATTAAGTCCTTAAATTTGAGGGTATTGGACCTGGAAAGTCTTTGAAAGGTCCTTGAATTTGAAGTTAACCGAGGTGTGGGAACCCTGGATGGAACCCGAACGTTTCAGAGACACACCGTGAAACATTGCAAAAATAGTCTGGTTACATGAGCCGAAATGCTTTCCAATAACATCCATGCAAAAGTTAATATCAGATCATTCTAGAATACAGTATAGGATGTACCGAATATTCTTCAGTTTTATGCAAAACAGAAATACGACAAATAGAATATCAGATCTCGGTCATATGGCCAAAAATAAATGCAAAAAAGCTTTTCTAACCTAATAAAAACGTAAGTCAAGTCATCCTCATTTATATAGCGCTTTTAACAATGTAGATTGTTTCAAAGCAGCTTTACAGAGATAAACTTAATATAATTAAAGGTAACAGAGATTGGTTTGGTTTTATAGCGGTTCTTGAATAATGTTATTTTCCAGCTAAAGTTGGTTTTGATTGATTCACTTCCGTCGAAATGATCATTTGTTATTAGATTAGGGGCCGCTAAGACGACGCCGTTCTCTCTAAACAGACTTTAAACTGAACCTGTGATAAACGCTGATGGCGTTCGCATGCGCATTAAGAACTGATTCTATAGTTATGTGCGTTTGAATATATGTGCATAATTCCCTACAAACCATGCCTAAACAAACTACTTGTCTTGCCTATACATTTTGATACAGAATTTTTTTTTTTTTTTTTTCACTTCGGGTTGGTACGTGAACCCTAATTTAAATATTACACACTGTACCTTTAAGAGGATGTTTCTGTATGCGTATTGAGCTGATGGCGTGTGTTGTGTGTCTCCCCACAGGAGGAATAAACACGGGTGTGAGATGTGCCGGTGCGTCAGGTGTCCTCCGTTCACCTGCGATAAACACTGTGTCGACGGATACAAGAAGAGCAGAAAGGGCTGCAGCGTCTGTGTGTGCAAAGGTGAGCTTGAGGATCAGGACTGCAGGGGTCAGAGGTCACGAGGCCGCGTTTATCAAGAGATGTTCCAGCAAACCATTCATAAAACCTCCACTCATCATCCAGAGCATAATTATAAACTCATCATTGGCAAAATATCAGCCGTTTAGAGGATGTTGTTTCAGGTGGAGAGCGGGATTAAAATAGGATATTATATTCATGTTACTCTATGATAATATCATTCTAATATGGTGACAGTACTAATGACATTTAAATGGTCAAGTATTAATACATTGAGTTTAAGTTGTACTAGCATTAATTTATGTTTTAAAACTAAATCCATTAAAAAATATATTATTTGAAATAAAATAAAATATAAAAAATAAACTTTCAGCTCGTTAAATCATTTACTTGTTGAAAAATAACAAAGTACAACTGTAATAAAAAAGAATAAAAACTATACAGACATTTTTTAAAAAAACAAGTAAAAATGACACAAAAAAAGACTAAAATGAAAATGGGAAATAAAAAAATAATTCTATATAGTAGTATATCAATGTCTAGAGGCCTCGTTTATCAAGAGATGTTCCAGCAAACCATTCATAAGACCTCCAAATGCAAGGTAACGTATACGCACCTTAGGTTTGTAACTCATTAGCATAATGCCCGCCTCTGGTCCTGATTGGCTGAGCAGCGTCTCTTGGCCCCGCCCTCAAACACTAGTGTATCTGAGACTGGAAGAGTTTGGTTCGTGTTGTTCGTGTCGAGAAGACGCTGTTCTCCACTGTGATGAGATTGAGACGTGAAACCCACGCCATAGTTACTGTTCGTATCACTGTGATCAAGAGCTGAGATTCAGATATGATAATGAGCGTTCTGACCAATCAGAGCAGAGCAGCTCTCAGAGAGGCGGGGCTTAGAGAGACTGAATCCCTGATTAAAGCGTTTCAGACACTGAGAGAAAAGAGCTGATGCTGCAGTGGAGATTATGAGAAAAATAATGTGATTTCTAGTCATTTTCACCTGATGACACACTTCTTATTTGCGAGTTTAAAGGAGTTGCTCGAGTGGTTTGTGGGCAGGTTATTTTAACTGTGTCAACTCAGTTTCATGCCCTCATTGTGTTTCTCTGTGTAAATATAGTGTGTTTGCGGAGTATATTTTAGTCGTCGGCGCTTGTGATTGGTCACACGCACGTCGTAAACTCTATTTTCAAACATCTGGATCAGTTTTTACTGTTTAAATATTTAGAGAGATGAAACTCCACCATCACCAAAACTGCTTAAAGGAAGCAAACACACACTTTCATTCAGTTCTGTTGATCCAGAGCATAATTATAAACTCATCATTGGCAAAATATCAGCCGTTTAGAGGATGTTGTTTCAGGTGGAGACCCGGGATTAAAATAGGATATTATATTCATATTACTCAATGATAATATCATTCTAATATGGTGACAGTACTAATGACATTTAAATGGTCAAGTATTAATACATTGAGTTTAAGTTGTACTAGCTTTAATTTATGCTGAGATTACATTTTTTAAACTGTTTTAAAACTAAATCCATAAAAAACATTTTTATTATTTGAAATAAAATAAACTTTCAGCTCGTTGCAACATTTAGTTGTAGTAAAATAGTTCAACTGAAATAAAAATGAATAATATATAAAAATGACATATTTTGAAAAAACAAGTAAAAATGACAAAAACTAAAATGAAAATAGTATATCAATGATAGTAAAATAACACTGATTACAGTATTTTGTCATTTTTACCATGTTTACTGTAATTTATTTTTAATGGTCTGCTTTTAAAGATGTAAGATATATAGATGGAATTATAGAAATTATTTTAAAAATTTAAGTACAATGTAAAAACTATATACAGTAGTCAACATTTGAAGTGTATCAAAAAAAGTTCATCAAAGTTGTCCTAAGACAAGAACGGGTCAAATTAATGTATAACTTTGATGAAAGGTTTTGATCCACTTCAAATGTTGACTTCTGTACATAGTTTTTACATTGTACTTAAATTTTGAAAATAATTAAAACCTGGTAATATACAGTGTGAGCTTATGTTGAATGTTGTTGTTTGGTCTCAGACACACACAGGAGTGTTCCCAGCACCGTCTCGCCCGTCACGATCTCCTCCAGCTTCTGTGTGGCGGCCGGTGGCCGGCGCGTCGAGGAGGGAGACGTGTGGCACGACGGGTGCCGGGACTGTTTCTGCCACGCCGGCCGAGAGATGTGTGTGTTGATCTCCTGCCCGGTGCCCTCCTGTGCCCATCCGGTGCTCCGACCCGAGCAGTGCTGCCCCGGCTGTGAGGGTACGTCACACACGCTCACACACACATCTGTCATGAGGAGAGTCCCGGTACACTACTGTACAGGGTTTGAAATGAACTTTTTCACTCACCGGCCAATTTGGCTACTACGTTTTTAAGTTACCGGCCATTCAGAAATTCTGCTAGCCAGAAAAGAAAAGAAAAAGAAAGGAGCCAGATTAACTATGTCACATCTTATATATATATATATATATATATATATATATATATTAGTGCTGTCAAACGATTAAAAATATTTAATCGAGATTAATCGCATTAATGTCATAGTTAACTCGCGATTAATCGCACATTTTTATCTTTTATAAATGTCTCTTGATTTCTTTTTGTCCGATTATTTTTTCTCATTTTAATGCTCTTATCAACATGGAAAAGTGGATCGGCTTGCTTTGTGCAAATGTTTTTTTATTGAAAACAACATTGGCATATACAGTGTTCAATTTCACACTAACATTTTGGAGCAAATAATCTCTCAATGTAACACTGTCCATCAATAAAAGGGTGAGAGAAATACTGACGAGGTCCTGATATTGACGAGGGGGCGGAGAATTCGCATCAGCTGTGTGTGTGTGTGTGTGTGTGTGTGTGTGTGTGTGTGTGTGTGTGTGTGTGTGTGCTTGGCCATCATCAAGTGGTGTTTCAGACTGGACGTGCTGCGATGATGATAGCTCAGTTCACAACGACAAAACACACAGATCACTTTGGTCTCGTCAATGGAACCATTTGGCAACTTTTTAAAAGTAAACTTTCCATTCAGAATCTTATTGGCATCCATTTCGGCGTCTCGCGCTCGTCATCCACTCAAAACGTAACGTTAACCTACTATTTGTCCGGCTCGCAAGCCCAAACGAGTGTGTGCGTCGTGCCTGTTGTTTTGTTTCCGGTCTAGCTAGATCCGCTTGCGCTTTGGTGGACGAAGCAACAAAACGTCCTCGCGCGGCGCAAGCCACTGAAATTAATGGGTTTCATCATAGCGCAGCGCCGCGCGGCCGCGTCCTGTTGCAAAAGCATGTGAAAAAAAACTACAAAGTTTGCTAGGCCAAAAAGATCGTTAATCGCGTGGTAAAAAAATTAACGCCGTTAAAATGGGTTTGCGTTAACGCCGTTAATAACGCGTTTAACTGACAGCCCTACTATATATATATATATATATATATACACACTGAACAAAATTATAAAAGCAACGCTTTTGTTTTTGCCCCCGTTTTTCATGAGCTGAACTCTAAGATCTAAGACTTTTTCTATGTACACAAAAGGCCTATTTCTCTCAAATATTGTTCACAAATCTGTCTAAATCAGTGTTAGTGAGCACTTCTCCTTGTGTGGCGAATCAAGATTTAGACAGCATGATTATTGCACAGGTGTGCCTTAGGCTGGCCACAATAAAAGGCCATTTTACTTTATAGGGGGTGTCGGGGGGAACATTTCTGAGTTATGATCAGTGTTGAAAAGTGTGTGTGTGTGTGTGTGTGTGTGTGTGTGTGTGTGTGTGTGTGTGTGTGTGTGTGTGTGTGTGTGTGTGTGTGTTGTGAAGCAGACGAGTCGGGCAGCGGGCAGCCGGAGGGAATGGATATGGTGGTGTGTCGCGCTCCGGGAGGAGAGCTGTACGTGGAAGGAGAGACGTGGAGTCTGGATGAATGTACGCGCTGCACATGCCGACAGGGACGAGTGCTGTGCGACGCTGAAGTGTGTCCTCCGCTTCTCTGTCACGCTGCCGTCAAGAGCAAAGACACCTGCTGCTCCGTCTGCCCAGGTACGAGATCACACATCACACACACACTAACACAACGATCTCGCCGGGTGGAGCTGGGGAGGCGGAGCGGTTCAGAGTACATCAGGATCAGCTTACAGAGATCAATGAGACACTAGGGCTGTCACTTTACGTTCTTCTTTTTATTTATTACAGGGACAGTGCATATTAATAAACATTTCTGTAAATATGCCAGAATTAACCAAAAGGCTATTTTTCATAGACAGATGGTAAAAAGTCACTCTAAAAGAGAGTAAAATTACATATTTGCATAACAATATAAAAATTACAATACATTTAGTAAGAAATACTATTATGTTAAAATATACAATCGAAACACAGCAAACCTACAATCAAACCAACATCAGACAAAAAAATAACACACACACACCCACACACACACACACACACACACACACATCTGACCCTTGTGCATCCTTATAGACATTTTTGTCCTTTTCAGTTTTGTGTTTTTGATCACTTAGCCTGTGTTAATGCTAACTGCATAAAATTTGGCACAGGTGTGTATTTTTATTGGAATTTTACTATTTCACCGGCATTTTCTTAAAAAAATCTTTTTTGCTCTAGAAACGCAAAATACTCCCTCTCAGCGCCTTCTGGACAAAAATGTCTGCATTGAAACCCATTAAAACTGCATTTTTTAATCCCAGGTTCATTTAACTATAAAATGATGCAATCTTTTTTAAGAGGCTTTCATTCTGTTGGCAAGGCTTAAATTTTTTAAATTTTTACCATTTTTTATCAGATGGTGCCATTTTTCCAGGTTTGGCTTATAAAGAAAATACTCGCTTTATTCCTGTTTTCTGCTTCGGCATATTATAGAGCCAATTGGATAAATTATGCAACGATAATTGTGTGGGTGTGTTGGTATGGATGTCTGAGTGTGGTTAGTATGTGTGTTATAAAAAAAATGTGTGTGTTTGTAATATTGAAAGAGAAAAACTCAACTGCAAATAACAAATCCAATCACTGTGTGACCAGTGGAGTTTAGCTGGCACCCAATGGGGGAAATCTGTTACTGCGCCCAAACAAACTCTTACTGAAAGCTCATTTTTTGAAATATCAACCTCAAATTTGGAACACAACTTATTTAGATTTATGGCTTTGATTTTCTTGCTGTTTTAGAGTTCAACTTGTTTTATAAAATATATATTTTATATAAAGTAATTTTCATAAACTTATACCTATATAACTTTTTTTTCCGATTTACTTATTCATTTTTTACTTCAGCAATAATCTGCCAAGGGTCTTCTTTAAAATGATACCAAACTTAAGTCTATGCTCCCAAGCTTCACATTTTTATGACAGTTTTTCGACACATTTTGTCCTCAATGTACCTATGTGTAACTTTTTTTAATTGATGCACAAGGATTAACATTAAGCACAGATGGACGCAGGTTTATTAGGCTACTGTCTCTTTAAGAGCCGCACGGATACAATATACTGATACACACAGTATAGGACTGTCACTTTATGTTCGAAAATGGATTGCACAATCGATCGGACCAACCAACAAAGGTTTCAAAAACGAAAATAGGGAATCGAATTTAACGGCCTTTTTTTAACCATAAATGTGTTTTAGGTGGACAGATCAGTACAGCACACAGAACATGTGGGATGTTGGAAAATAACAATGTCTTTTCTCTTAACCAAATGCTTTTTAATATTCGCTATTACTTCAATGCAAGTGAACAAGCGCGCCGTTATCTGTTGCGTAGTGACGTGTGTGTTCAAGTAAGCCAGAAATGCGCAGATTCTGCGATACGCTGTATTTAATATATCATGAGGATCACGAGTTGCGTATTTGCGCTAAATCCGCGCAGATTTGGCTTACACGAACTTCCCCAGCAAAGTGAGTAAACACAGAAACGCCAGATCGGCTTGTGATTCGACAGCGTTTCCCGCCAAAGTTCATTTGCACCCGCATTTGGCGAGTCGAGGGTGTTAATCTCCATCCCTGAATGTTGCGCTCCTGTTTGTCATTGTGCTGAAACTTCACGCCAGTAAATCATCAGGAATATTGCTGACTTGTGCGTCTCAAGCGCCTCTTTACGCTCGTCCTAACGCCTGTTAGGTGTCCATGGATTTGCCTGTATTTCGTGTTGAAAATGGATTGAATAC